GACATCCTGAAAGACACATACGACACCTCTATGTGTTTTACCTGGGGGATGGCATCGTTCAACTGCCTGAGGAGCAGCTTCTTTCCTGAAGGTGTGCGGACCCAGGACCAGTTGAACAGCCTTTGTGTGAGTGCCTTGCTCGCACACGTGCTCTCAGACTGTTCCTGATGTAGCCTTGCAAGCGCAACCAGGCACACTGTCGTGTCCCATGGCCCAGGATGTCCGTTTCAGGATGAAGTGCTGTTCGACCGCATCTCGACATTGCTGTGGCAGCTCCCTTCCCCGCAGAGTGTCCCGCAAAAGTTTCAGGTTGTGCCGAAGCAGCAATGCAGACATGACCTTATTGTGCATGTTGAGACGTGTCAACTCTGACTTTTGCGCATCCGAGTTGAGCTGCTGCATCCGGGAGTTGTTGGAGCAGTTCGCAATCGAGCGAGGGTATGCTCATGTCTTGCTGAACCCGTACATCGTGAATGGGGTGGCAAGGGGCTGTCAGTTGCAATCGTTTGCGGACACTTGGCTGCAAGTCCTTTGCGCATGGAATCCAGCTTCGCATCATGATGGTTTCATCTTTTGCTTCTGATTGAAAGGACAAAAGCCCAGAGTGGCAGGGCTGGATGCTCCCGATCCAGCAAGATGGGCACTTGTTGCACGTCTCCTACTACGCCGCCGATGTGGCCGCCTTCGCCGAGTCCTTCATGCTGAAGACGGGTATGAAGAAGATGGGACAGAGGCAGCTGCCAGGCAACGTGGCCGGGGACAAGTGGCAAAGTGTTGAAGCCAGGGCCGCCTTAGCCAGTGCCATGTTTTCTTGACGGATTGAGTCCTGAGCCTGAGACTTCTGTCAGGAACATTGCACTGGTCGAGGGTGGCAGTCCGGCAGAGGTTCACGAAGGATTACGTGGAGACCTTGGGCAAATGCAATGTCCGCCTCCACGTGCTAACCCCTTCTATCCTGCAACTTGTAGCGCTTATGGGTTGTGCAGAAACTACTGAACTTGGTTGAAGCGGCTGCGCCTTGAATCACTGAGGCGAATGGACAAGCTGAAGATCGTCACTTCGTTGGATGGCGGCTGCGCGCGGTGGTGGAGCGCCTTGCCCCAGGACGACTCAGGATTCAGGTCATTGTGGGTCACGGCAGACGGCTACTTCTACAGCCTCACGAGAAAGCAGATGAAGGTCTGTTCCATCTTTGAACAGATTGTGGCAGTCATGCATGTTCGGCTAAGCACGGACAGGACAGCGTTAAGCTAAAAATGGGCGCACCCAGGTAAGTGGCTTGGAACTACGCAGCCCCAACTGGAGAACAAGCTGGCAGCTTTCGTGGCACGAAGGCCGCTTCCCTCAAACCCTAAGCTGTGCAACCTCTCAGTCTGCCTTGTCTGTTTTACTGTGCCTGCCGGCCAGGGCTCGCAACTCTGACAAGTGAGCGGCAGGTCCGTAGTGGCCCTGAGGTCCTCAGGTCCTCAGGTCCCCAGGTGCCCAGGTACAGCTTGTGTCTTTGGCTTTTGCAAGTTTCACCCTTTCCGAAGAAGTCAGCAGCGAGCATCGGACACCTTGCGGCTTGAAAGTTGAATGTCTTGGTTCGCACAGCAGCACACGTCGGAGCTTCCCACGGCCAGGCAGGAATCTGGGTTTCGGGCAGTTGGGGGGTCTTGTGGGTCTTGTGAAGGCCTCAATCCTTAAAATTTTTCGCAGGGGCTGGGGGCTCAACCCAGTATATAGGACTGATAGTTCTTATGCTTAACCACTTACATAACGTATCATAACCTCTTGCGTAAACTCTATAAAAATATAACTTTTGTATAGTACCCCATAACTTCTAATTTTTTATCACACTTATAACAGTTTACTACTGGGTTG